CGGGGTGCACCAAGCTGTGTAGCACTAGAAGGAAGTTACATTGTTTCATTTGCTGAATTTCCTGCCCGTCCTCATCACAGGAAACGCCACATTTCACCACAGCTGAGCCGGCTGCACCCCGGAAACAGCTGCCCACTCATTGGCTTTCATTGCTCATCTGTATGAATTGTACGGCCTCCGTGGCTCTATACCTGGTGCTGGTGAATCCCGCGTAGGGCCTTGTGGCCCCAAGGAGCCCCCTGTAATGTCCTAGATGCATGCATGTGTTGGTGTTAAAGGAGAACTATGAGGGGGTGGGGCTTTTCAATCACCTCATAGTTCTAGCCGACCTGTTACAATGAGCCTGTCACAGGTCGGCTCAGTAGATCGGGAGGTGAGAGAACACATACCGGCGTTCGCTCACCTCTCGATCCTGTCACTGCTCTCTGCCGTGACAGGGGGAGGGGCTGGATTCCCCCCTCCCCGCTCCGATCCGCCAGCGCTGACTGGCGGAGCGGATGGGGGGGAGGGGGCGGGTACAGCTGGCTCTGCCTCTAGATAGGCAGAGCCAGCTGTCAGTCACGCAGCTGGGCGGATGCAGACATAATTGTCGGGATCCGCTCCGGCTGCGGCGTCTTAGTATACTGCGAGCAGCAGCTCCCTATATACTGAGCTTAGGGTGACGGGAGGACGCTAGTTTGTGTCCTCCCGTTACCCTAAGGAGAACTATGGGGAAAAGCCTGAACCCTATAGTTCTCCTTTTAATAAAGCTGCCTTTAGGCTGGTTTAAGAGGCACATAACATGCATTCAAGAAGATAAAACGTCCCTAAGAAGAGCTCAACTCCATCCAAAACCATTTTCTTTGGGTGTCTTTAGCTTTGTATAGACCTGGGAATGGTAAATGGGTCTTTTATTGCTGTCTGTACTGGTAAGGAGATTTCACCTCACTTCCTGTCCCTGTGACACCAGGCCAAGAAATGAGAGGGTGCTGGTGTCACTGGGTACAGGAAAACTAATCTAACCCATTCCCTGATCCAACCCTCCCCCTCCACAGAGGCTTACTACTGGGATCCAATGCCCAGGGATTGCCAAGTTAGTTCACATAGAGGACTTGGATGCTGTGTCTGCTGGCCGCACCTGGACTT